GTTTGTATTACCTCATGCAGAACACGGAGTTTTCTCCTTAGTACATCTGCTGCCCTCTTCCTCCTCCTCCTGACATCTTCAAGGCTGGCTTGAGTACAATATCTTCCTAATAGCTTTTTATACTTTTTTTTTTTTTCCCTGAGACGTCTACCTGTGTGATCAAAGTGTTGCTGGTGAAAGTGTGTTTGGTAATGAACTTTTAAATACTAGTGGTTACTGAGAAACCTCAAAAGATAAAACCAGCACTTCAAGAGTTAATATGTTATTAGGAGGACAGGAAATCTGGCAACTATTGCAGAAACTAGACCTAATGGTGCACACAAACAATTTGTCAGTCTTGGTAAATGTGAATAGCTTTCCGCAAAGTGGCTGCTTTTGCTTTGTTTGAACAGCCTAAACTTTTCCTTTTTTGACTTTAAATCTTAGAAGTGAAATGTGATCCACATATTGAATCAAAATAATTTAATTCAAAACATATTTTGATTGGAACAAGGTTGACATGGAAAGAAACTCTAGAATAAAAAAGAAAAAGTTGAAAGGACTTTCTATCATATATTTAGCAGGAAAATTTGAAACAGTTCTAATTAGGCTGAAAAAAACAGCCTTCTTCATTGTAACTTACAAAGGTCATATATCAATGTTAAGGCAGCATTACCAACTTGTGTCTGAAAGTCTGCACATGCAAACATAATTCCAGTTGTTTGGTTTTGTTGGGTTTGGGGTTTTTTTAAATGCATGTGCACACACATACTTCCAAGGTAAAATACATACTTAGTTTAGTTACCTGGTACTGCAGTTATGCGGGTGCTTTGTTGTGTTCAAGAAGAGTATTTTTTCACTCAAAATTGTGTTTGTAATGTGTGAAATCCTGATTCATGCATTTCTGTTCAGAAATAAATATTTCTCAACTGGAACATAAAAAAAGAAACTCAATTATTTTAAGTGTTTCAAAGGAAATGCCTTACTTCAAAGAGAAATTACAATACTTAGCCCATTAAAGGTAATAGGCAATTATTTGTACTTGAGATTTGTAATTTCTTACTTGCCAATGCAGTATAATCCTAGAGTTTCTGTGTTTTTTAAATTGAGTGAATAGGAAAGATTATTCATATATGAGAAGCAGTTTTGGTTTATCAGCAAAGTTTCTACTTTCATTTTAACTATATGAAACACATTTTGTATATGCTGGACTTCTTTTCTGTCTTTCAATAAGAGTAACATGCTTTATGCTGTGCTTCAAGATTGCTTTGCTTTAATCAGCATAGAAATAAGGCAAGTCTGTGCTCTGTTTCTGAATAGATTGATTATGAATAAATATCTATGCTGGTGAAAAGAAATACAATTAGTCTTTTAATCTCATTTCAGCATTGGAACATCCCAATCTCAAGCACAGTATATATTCCTTTTTAATGGACATAATTTCATATACTATATGTCATTACATAATCTAAACCAGAGAGAAAAGTAGAGGACAAAAGCCAGTTTTAAAGATGCAAATCTTGATTCCAAGGGTATAATATTGTTTGGGAAAATATATCATAATAAAGGGTTAGATTATTTATACTGGAAAAAAAGAAAAATCTTTCCTAACCTGATAGTTTTATGTTTTTGTTGTTCTGACCACATTTTGCCAAATAATTTGTATCAGTATTAGACTGATATTAGTCTTTGGTTGCTAGCAGGAAATTACTCTCCATTCATTCCTTTTGGAAAACAAGGCAGAAAAAGATGCACATAAGATAATGAAATCAAGAGTAATTAGAGAAAAATAGTTTACATTGCAAATATTTTGTGACATCAGATTGTGCATTTAAAAAATATTAAATAAACTAAAATTTCCCTGTAAGATCAAATCTTCAATTTGTTGATGTGTCTGAAGCATTTCTACCTTGGGAATGGAGAAATGGAAGTTACTAATCGGTGTTTGTGTTTGACATCTGTATACTGTACTTTTTAGCATATCTCAAGTGTTTTAGTCTCTGCCTAATAGATCTCATTAAAGAAACAGATATCAGCCCCAAGACAGTTTGTCAAAGTTAATATGAGTCCCCACGGACAGAATTGACAATTTGTGTGTGGCTTCACGTGATAGTCTTTTCATGGCCTTGTTTGATCCTTTAACAATTGGGCATTAGTCACTGATTTATTTTACAATAACTCAATTGGATTGAATGTTACTGTATTAGGCTGGGCATTTTAGAAGATTTTCTTGTTTTGCACATTCTCCTCGGAGCACACAGTAAATGATGTACTTGGCCTGCTGTGGGAGCGCAATTGATTGGTTTGCTTTAAGAGCAACATGGGAAGGATATTAGTATCCCATCGCTGCATGCCGTATTTAACTTGAGCCTTAATGAGCACTGGCTGTCCTAGATGCTTAAGTAATCCTAAATGCTTAGCATTCAATACCCTTGGTTTATTTTTGCAGGAGGTAAATGCTGACTAACATAAAAAAAAAAAACAACAAAAAAACCCAACAAAAAAAACCCCAACCCCCTTCTTTTTAAAACTTTATAGTTTTGCAAATTGGAACTTTTTAACTTCTCAGATTTATTTATTTATTTATTTATTTATTTATTTATTTAAGGAGTACCCATACTTAAATAGTATATACCAGTGTGGCTATAAAGTGCATCACAAATACTGGTACATTGTATTATTTTCCTTGAAAGTCTACTCTTTTTTTTTCATCATTATACAGACTGTTAACTATTGCTCCTCTATCGATTGTGTCATAGCATAAGCACTTCCCTCCAACCAAGAGCTTAAGTGTGAACCTGAAATGACAGGCAAGCTTATTTAGCCTTTGAGTTTGTGTTCTGTGTTTGATCTGTCTTTCAGGGTCCTGGGTATTGATGCTGACTCTAGTCTTTTTCATTTAGCCCTTTTATTTGTAATTTGGCAAATAAGAATGAAGATTTAAAATGGCCTAATGTGGGGAAAAAAAAAAAAAAGAAGAAAAATATCTACTTTTGAATCTGTATAAATTACAAGTGTAAAATAATTTTAAACTTGAAAAAGAAGTAAATTCAGGATGTCTCCCAACCACTCTGTGAAAAGGCAAAGAACGTGTTTTAATTTTCTTTTTTTAAGAAAAGCGAGTTTTATGTATCTGTTAATCTGAGAAGATTGCCAAGTGATACTCCTTTAGTTATTCATGTCCAAATGCTTTGTGAGGGTAATATGACCCATTACAAACGTAGCTTTTGAAGAGAAGAAAAATATGAACAACTTCTGCACATATTAAATACATATACATAAAAATAACAAGTTCTTAATGCTATTTTTCCTGACATTAAATAGTTATAATGATAACAGTAAGTATATTCTAGGGTTAATTTTTTTTAGCAGGATAGCAAGAAAATTAATTCATATCATTGTCATTTGCTGAGCCATGTAGAATTTTATGGCAGCACATTGTAGTATTATGGACACTCATGAGACTCCTGACTGGCTTTTTCTTATTAAACAATTTTGAAATCATTAATTTTTAATTGGCCTGCTTGTGGTTTTTTATAGTTTTAATTGTGTATCTGTGTCTAAAGGTTGGGGTTTTTTTAATATAAAAAAAGAAAAAAGAAAGCAAGAAAAAATCTTGTCTAAGCATATATATTGTGAGGTATTTCCATATGATCATCCGAGGAGATACAACACTGTGTGGTAATTCATTTTAAAGAATGCTTTCAGCAATTCAGTAGCTGGGAATCCTAATAAAAATAATAATAATAAAAAAGAATGATATGATGTCAAATATATGTACAGGTCTTTTCTTGATTGAAAGTTCTAATTAAGTGAATCGAGGAAAATTAACTGAAATTAGCTGTCAGAAATCACATTTAAATGAGTGATGATCTGGTGTGGCAGTAAACATTTAAATGATATAAATTGCCATTTAAGTGTATGGTTTAATGTTTGTCATGCATTAATATGACATGAGACTGCAGTGACAATCAAGCAGCTTGCTCTAATTTGAACATATTTAGGGCTTTTGTGTGGAGTGCACCACACAAATTAAGACAATTGCTGGTTTTATGTGTCAATTTAAATGTTGTTTTCAGGCATCGGTTAATGAAACAAACCCATCATTTTTGTGTGCAAATTGCAGAGTGATTTCCTTGCTTTTCAGATTAATTTTAACTTCCTCTGCTCAAAATTAGGAATTTCCTTTACAAGGAAAATGCTGTTTGTTTCATTTGACGAAGAGAGTATCAGACTTTGTTGTTTCATTTGCTCCTTTAGATAAGAAATATATTGAATCCTCTGTATATAGCAGAGAAAGCAAATCTTGCTAGTGATTTAATCTAAATGAATTAGCTCTTTAGATGACAATGATTTTTAAGATATCTTTTAATATATTTGGGCTGCATGTAATGCCATTATGGAGAGATTCATTATTGTTTGCATGCTTTTGTCTTGGGGATTGAGTTGTAACTGGATAACATCTTCTGAAAAGTGGCTTAATCATTCAGCGTAGTACTGTTTCTGTGTAGATTTATATAACAGATATATACGAGAAATGCATAAAAATAAGAGTAAGTTGATATTTCAGCTGGTTAAATAATTTCTACTCTAACATCTCCAAGTCTATCAACCTTCTCGCTGTCTGTCAGAAACAGGTTATCATGCTGTTACCGTTCACCGTGCTGATCACACCGAAAAGCACAATTTCATCTTGAGCGTTCATAAAAGCATAGCCCAGCTGTCCAGAAATGCATAAATGCTTTCCACTTACTGCTTTTTTTTTCTTATTCCCACTATTATAGTTCAAAAAGCAAGGTCTTCTGGTCAGTGGAGAGTAGAGTAGGGCATGAGACTCTGGCATCTATCACAGGGCCCACCTTTTTTGTTTTGATAGAATGTCTAAAATACTGTTAATCAATTCTGTATTTAGACTTGTTAAGATAGTTTTGTATGCTGTTAAAAAAAATGCTTGTACTACTTGTAAATGATGGCTAACTGGCAAACTCAAGTTTATGTATTTTGTGTGTGTTTTTTAACAGGCATTAGAAAGTGAGTTTGTTTCCTGCCAGCTTCACCAGTGGATTGATCTGATTTTTGGCTACAAACAGCAAGGGCCAGAGGCTGTTAGGTCCCTGAATGTATTCTACTATTTGACTTATGAAGGAGCTGTTAATTTAAGTTCAATAACGGATTCCGTATTGAGAGAGGTAAGTCTGTACTTTAAATATAGGAAAGGAAAATCTTTGTTAACCGCTGCAGTGTTGAAAGTGTAAAGACTGCGCGTTATTCAAGGCTACCAGTGAATGTTCAAATCTTTGCATTCTCTCGTGGTTTGACTACAGGCCAGTAAAATGCAAGGTGCCTGAACCAGTTGTCACAGCGTGCAAAATGAAGAGAACAAGCATGCAAGTTGTTCTCAAACTTTGTGCACCTGGATTCAGCACAAACTGGATGCCGATATAAAAATAAATATATTTTTTCAGGGATTGCTTCAGTTGCTGAGGGCAGTCATTTTGTTCACTAATAGTGGATCTTAGTGGCAAAAAACAGTGAGCAGCCTTGATTTGGCTCGCACTCCTGAATTTACTTTTACAGTTTTAACAATTCTCTTTTAATACATTCCTACAAATGTAGTACACATCAAACACCGTAGTTTTGTAGCTTCTATTATTTTTATTAGGCTTACTATAAAATTAATAATAACTTGTCATTTATTTTTTCATGTGGAAAAGTAAATATTTAAACATTGGAAAGATCAGTAGTCTCACTCAGACTCAGCACCATTCAGAAAAATCTATTTGCTGAAGTATCCCTTAGGATATTGTGGGCTCCTCCCTCCTCCATCTAAACAGCTGTTGTTTGGGGTTTTTTTAAAAAAGGGCAGGGTGGAGTGGGTGACTAAAACAGATTTTTTGATTGGTTTTATGTCCTCTGATCAGACAATACATTGGTATCAAGTGTAGCTGCAAGTATACTAACTATAGAATAAATGTAAATGATACTTAGTTATAAAATACTCTGAGTCCCTGAGAAAAAAGTAATCTGAATGCCATCAACAATTTTATTTAAAAGGTTGGCTAGATGTATATCAACAGGGAATACGTGTGAACTGAATGAAAACAAGAATGAAGACTTTTCTGCTTATAAATATTAGGTTTGAAGTTCATTGTAGAATTCGAGGCTAATCCTAATTGAAGTTTTTGTTATTTATTGCTTATTGAAAGAAGGTCTGGGACATGAGCAATTATTATTTTAAGTAACACTATTTTCTCTCTACATAGTGGCCATCTGACTGTATGGGGCACCTTGATAGCCTCTGTAGAGAAAGTCACACCATAGCAACACCGTGGGTTGTAGCTGGCTTGTGGGTGCCCTGGGAAGATTTTGGGGGTATGCAGGGCATGTAGGAATATGCAAGGACTGGCTTAAGTACCAAAAGTGACTGTTGGATGTCATCATTACATGGGTTACCGTCAGTCTGCAGACTACATCTTCGTCCACTTTGAGCTAAAATATGGATGTTGCACAGAAATACATTTAATTGAGCTAAGAGAAGAGATACTGGAACACTTGGCTTTTAAGAAAAAAGTGTCATCATCTGGATTTGAAACAGCTATTGACCCAAGAGTACTAGACATTCACCCTGTCATGTTTTCATTTAATTGATAATGTTTGTCCACTGTACAATGACAAGGAAATATTCTTACCTTGTAAGAGTATTTATTACACTCTTGAAGTGCTAGGTTTAAGTGTGAGCTGAGAAATAGACTGGGCATTGTGTGTAATTTGTTCTTAATTTTGGTATTAAATCAACCATCATTGATTATTTTATGAAACTAATAATTTAGGTAATACTAATCAAAATAGCCGTCTGCATACTCAATTTTTATGTAGTTTTAAATTTTTCTAGAGCACTTCTATTATCAGTTTAACTGTGATCTCTTTTATTTGTGTCATAGCCTGAAAAAAAGTAGTTTAAGACCAGGGAAGTTACAAATCTGTAAGCGTGGATCATCTCAGAGAGGCATTCACTTTGTACTTCTATAAATATATTAATATATTTTGTTACCAAATTTCTTGAATTTGTCATGCTTTCATTGGACTTCACGACGTTTCTTGGTTTTGAGTTCTTCTGTGCTGCCTCAACTGAGTGACGTATAAAAATCAAAACAGGAGAGGAAGAATAGCAGTGTTGTTGAGTTCATAATAATGGAGTAGCTTAGCAGCAGAATTTCGAAACACTACTGATGGTGTCAAAAATACATGCTGATGACCACAGGCGACAGAATGAATGGTATCTTGTAGCACTCGCGTTCTGAGTTACTTGAAGATTGGTCCAATGGAATATTTTTATTTAGTATTTTTAAGCAGGTCAGTAAAACAGTAAAAAGATTCCTGTTTAGTTAGCTATCCCTTGCTGTTTACATGTATTTTGTAAATCATATTTTTTATTATGTAAATATGTATATGTAATTTGAAATGCTACATATGATCAGCTCTGATATGATATTGGCAGTGCAGAGATTTAATTACTATCATCACCGATGGTGAGTTATCCTGTTTTTACTTATGAGTAGAGGTGAAAGTAATAAAAAATCTGTTTGTGTGTGTATCTATGTGCATAATCATTCTATATCTATGTGCTAAATGAATTTATCATGCACCTTTGACAGTCTCAACTTCTTCCTGCTTACTAATCCATCTCCCTGAGGACCTGCGCTAACGTTCTGTGCTGCCGAGCAGCTTCAGTCAGCATTTATTTCTCTCCTTCAGTCAGCTTGCCAGAAAATATTTCTTCTTTTCTCCACCAAATTCCTGGTTAGAGGTCAAATGAGTTTCTGATCTGGACAATTAACAGTATTTTTAGACAGGCACGACAGTTCAGATTTAGTATCTGTTTATTAGGCAACTATTAAACTGGAAATTTTACTCTGGATTTCTTGGTTTCAAAAAGGATACTTCTGGCTTTCTCCTCTCAATAAGGTGCAGGGTTTGGGTCCTTAAATCTTGACAGTTGTAGCAGAAAATATTTTTTTATTTCCAAACCTAAACCAAGGAGAAGCTTCTATATAATCTGAGAGTTGCAAGTTACTGAGTCTTTTAGGTATCATGTGAAAATAATAACATGTGCTTAAACCATGGCAATTTCTCCACATAGATAGTCTATGCTAAGCCTGGACCACATCAGTAATGAGAAGTCTATGATGCATGTGTTTCTGAAGTATCTTCACAGATATATGTATGGATATTGGTGACCTAACTCATCAGGAGAGGCCACACACAGAATAATAGTGGAAGGAACTAAGGAGTGGAGGAGTTTAGGTTAATGCAGAATTTCCTTAGGTCTCCTAAATGACTCCAACTGGCACCTTTATTTTTATAGGCAGTCAGGTTATATATATTACAAGAAGGAAGCATTCGTCTAGGAAGGAAAACTACTTGATTAAAACCATATTCCACCTTTCTTTTTTTTTTTTTTAACTGAAAATGTAGAACTTCTACATCCTCTCATACTGCTGTGAACAATTTTTTCCTGCCATTCTTTCTGCCTATGGGAATAAAGGAAGTAAAGTATTTTGAAAGGATCTGACTGCTATAATAGAAAATTTTAAACTAAAATGCAAACCATGGGCCACATGCTACCTTTTGGCAGATAAACCCTGGGGAGTGCAAAGCTTGCATAATTCAAAGGCAAATCTCAGAGGGAGGGGAGTAGATCAAGAGGGAAGGGTTTGAGTCACAGCCAGTGGGGGAAGGGAACTGCAACCAGTGAGAAGCAAGGCAAGAGATCCAGTATATCTGCTGGCAAATCTGTGCGCTCCTCATCCCTGCAGAGACCATTCCTTCATCCTCTTCTTTTTTCCTCAAGCCATTTTAGCGGTGTTCTCATTGACTCTGATCCTTGTACTTGTGTATCTCACTGAAGGAGGTTACAACTGCAGAGGGAAGTTGCTGTTCAGTTGACAAGCAGTAAATATCACATCTCTTTCTGGTGGAAAATACAGTATTTGCCAGCAGAGGTATACTATAGCCTACCTTATGTTGACTTGTTCTTGAACACCATGTTTTGATCTGTGAAACTCCCAATCACAGGATCTGCTGAGGAAGGGCTTTTTTGTTGGCTGTATGGAAGAGGCAAGGAGTCACAGTAGCACAGATAAATGTCATCCAACTGTTCTGGAGAGAATTTATAGCACCTTCTTATCACAAATTCTGCTCTCTTTTTGCAGTAGCTGTCCAAGAATGGAAAAAAAAAAGACAAAACCAAAAAGAAAACCCAAAACCCCTACAAAGTAGAATTGGATCTAAGCCAGTCAGACAAGCAACTGATTAAGAGGTGAAGTGCAATCCACAGAAAATAATTTGTATCTTGAACTGATTTGTGGGTATTCCATTAGTGTCTTGGTCAGAAGAGTAGAAATTCCTCTTGTTTCTGGCATAGTGTAACAAAGGTTTATCGTGAATCTGAGATGCATTGTGCATTCCTAATTAAAAGTCAGTTTCTCCACTGATACCCCTATGTACCTAGCATAAACACAAGTGTAAAGAAAAGAGATGAAGTTAATAGTGGGAAGGTAAAATATTACTTGGAGAATACATCACTGATTTACTACAGGGACCTATGAACCTTAGGAAGCATACTAAATTTTGTACCATGCTTATAAAAAAGCGCTTAACCATATTCTTTAAATAGTTTTGTAAAAAATATCATCTGATATGATCTTTGTAGGCGGCAATTAAGGACAACTGATGATTTTTAAATTAGCAATAATAGTTGGAAAAAAATGAGAATAAGTCCCATCCAATTAATTCTCACATACTTTCTTTAAGTGATTTGCTTTTAGCCTTAGATGATTCAGTTGTTTTATACTTCTTCCTTTGAAGCAAAGGTGCCTTTTTGTTACGTGAAGGTAGTCTGTTTAACATTAGGAAGCACAGCTTTCTCCATTTTATCAGCACCTTTCTTTCTGCTGTTGATATTTTATTTCCATATGAACTGAGGAGTTTCAAAAATTGTGAAGAATCAGCTTGGACATAGCATTTGGTATGTTATTTGAATGTGCCACTACCGATTATATAAGGAGAGGAAATAATTCTTTTATTTTCAGTTTTAAGGCATATGGGATATATTATTTTATGGATAATAGCTTTTAAATGTTGCCCAAGATTAATATCTTTGGGTAAGTTTTATGCATCTTAGACCTGT